TGGTTCCACTTCACCATCATCAACTCCTTCAGTCACTTTGACTTCAGCTTGATGACACCTGGTTAGTTCAACCTCTTTTTTTAACACTTAACGGAATTCGGCTTTTGTTGTTCTCGAACGTCATTTTATCAAAATTAACTACATACTTCCTCGGTAGTAAGTAGTTCAACCCTAATATGCATTGGTCTTCAATGTCAGCCAAGTATACTATGTGTCTATCCTGATCTTCACTTAATTTCCTGTTTCTCAAGCTAAGTCCATATTCCTAGGCCACGAGCGGGGTGAAGGAGGATTGCTTAATCTTCGAGCGCCCTTGATAAGTAATTATTTCCGAATAAATAATTACTTTTTAAATCAAAATAATTGCCAGGAACGAACGAACACACACTGATCCCCGCCAGGCCCTGTAAAAGCCCGTTTGCTTCAGTGTCTTTCGATAAATTGTCAACAATTGCTGTCGACTTGCTCCTTCTACAAGATCAATCGGCCTTTGCTACACCTTGGACTTGCCTTCGCTTCCGCCCATTTGCCTCACCATCATCTGTGTGTGTATATATATATTTCATTATTTATTTTATTTTATATATATATATATATTATTCTATTTATTTTCATTTATTTTATTATAATTATTTATTCATATGGCTCATTAAAACGATGACCTCTCATTGAATCTCTAGCTTCGAGCAGGGTGAATGAGGATTGCTAATCTTCGAGCACCCCTGATTATTAATTATTTCTTCTGAAATAATCATGTTCAAATCAAAATAACTGCCAGAAATAATTAATAATAACACACACTAACCTGAAGACGAAAGGCGGGAGACGTTCGTAACGTCGTCCTCTACATTTGTAGGTTTCTACAACAGTTGCTGTCCATTTGAAACGCAGATTCAGAGTGATTCTGATCAAATAATTTAATTGAGTCTTCCTAGTGTAAAATAATGAGACTGGAAAAAGTTGATAAAAATGAAAACAATCCTTATCTCTGAAAGAAACAAAAAGAAAATGCAGCATAAGTACTTGAGCACACGAAAAGACAGGTGCTCCTACTAGACTGTGCCATAGCTTTCTATCTCTCGGAATATACTGCCATCAAATTAATAACAATAAGCTTAAGAGTGAGCTTTTACCCTATAACCTCCCAATAAAACTGAATCTTTGTCCAGTAGACAGCGTCATTTCGTGACCTTTGTTCCCTCACTGCATTGGTCGGCTATTAAGTTTATTAAACATCATATTTGTTCAGCAAAGCACGTTTCAGTGCAAATCCTTTTAATATATACTCTTCGGAAGAATAGACATCACATGCTATAGAGATGAAATAAATGAAGCAATTAGAACGAGGTAATCTTAACAACTTCTGAAATACGTTGCAGTCATTACAACAGGGAAACGAAATAACCGATATTTTTAAATTTATATATTACTAAAGCAGATATAAACATAAGATATGTCTGAGTATCAGACAATGACTTTTTTGTTTAATAATTGCATAGTGATTGATTTCATTAATCTTCTCCATACTGTCGATTAAATTAGAATTATATATTAATCTTATACCTTTTTCTCTCGTTACACACTAAGTACCCTATTGGGTTAGCAGTAAGTCTATGGACTTACCTGATGATAACAAAACCTTGTCGAAACGTTGTACATTTGCTATTATGTTAAACTTATATTAAAATTTTTCTTCATTACCCATTCAAGCCGTCTCCAAGCATTATTACAATGCTAAAATCACGGGCTCGATTCCCCACGATGGACATAGCAGATAGCGCGATGTGACTTTACTATAAACACACACTCAGAAATAACAAAAATGTTTTTCTTTTACTGTGTCTGGTCTATCTTCTGTTTCAGTTCAGTTGGGTCAGAATTCAATTCAATTATCTCTGTAATACATTTTTGCCGAACCTCTTGATTTGGCTTGTTTTGAAATTCGCACAAAGCTACACAAGGGCTATCTGCGCTAGCCGTTCCTAATTTAGCAGTGAAAGACTAGAGGTAAGGAAGCTAGTCATCACCTCACACCACCAACTCTTTTATCAATGAATAGTGGGATTGGCCGTTACATTATACCCCCCCCCCCCCGCGGCTGCAAGGGCGAGCATGTTTGGTGGGATGAAAATTCGACCCGGCGACCCTCAGGTTGCAACTGAGCGCCCTAACCCCCTGGCCATGCCGAGCCACCGAACCTCTTTTTAGAGTGAAAATCACTTTACCAAATAATGCCTCATTTTATCGAATGTTTAACTGTAATGACAAAAGTATACAAATACCTTGTATAATACTGTTTAGACTTCAAGTAAAGTACTGTGTGCAATATTGGTTTCCTTACCATAAGAAAGATGTCAAGGTTTTGGAAAATAAAGCAAGAATGCAGAGACAAGATATTAGAATGAATCTAGTTTCAAATTTTATTTTAAAGAAAAAATACTAAACGTTTCGGGCCTGTTTTACGTGGAGAAAAATTATATATAACTTGTCTCAGTACTAAAAATGTTTTATCCAATTGGGAGATTTTCCCACTGGTGACCTATTTTAGCTAAAGAATGATGGAGGAGTT